CGTGCGTGCGTGCGTGCGTGCGTGCGTGCGTGTGTGCATGCATACATGCGTGCGTGCGTGCTTATTTGCGTGCGAGTGTGCGTGCGTGCGTTCACGCGTGTATGTTACTTACTTGGTTACTCGGTTAGAGAATAGGCGTCATTGCAGGCGGCGCAATGCCATACCTGCTCCTCCCTCCTCTCCAGGATCCATGAAAGGGTCTGCCTGCTGATCGTGCCAGTTCACAGCTGGTTAGATATTCTTCTGGCTTTTCCACGCAGGTTGCTGTCTCTCTCCGACCCTCTAGAGACACCAGCTTCCCTTAATCTATCCATTGTGTGTGAAGTGGTGCCTTCATCCTCTCTGTGGTCGTTGACCCATACTGTCAATGCTGCCATGACTGTTGGTGGATCTAATTGCATGGTTCCGCCAATCTCAACCTTGCCGGCTAGCTTATCAGCTCGTTCATTGCCTTGAACTCCCGCATGACTAGGTCTAAAGATCCATACAACCCTTGTGAGTCTGCTGCTATGTATTGCCTGTCGCCAGTCTGCATATATCACGTGTTTCTTCACTTTTTCGAGGGTACTCATCGAGTCGGTGACGAGGATTGCAGACTGTTACTCCGTCGTCTTAATTCAGTTAAGGGCTTCTGAGGTGGCTTTCATCTCCATGCACATGCTGGACGTAGTTATACTAGTGGCGCCTGACAGCTCTCTCTGTATGACCCCGTTTACACGGGCGCTGAAAGCCCATCCAGATTTGACACCACGCTATACTGATCCATCAGTGAAGATGACTATGTCGCCCTGGTCACTGTTCTCCTCTATCAGCGTCTCTACCTCGGCATTGTCTGCTCCCTCTGGCCACTCACGATATTTAAACTGCCTAAGGTTGCTACCACTCGAGTATACTGCACAGGTTTGTCAGTGACGTTGACCCATGCGCTGCTCCTTCGGGTGTCTCGCACTTCACAGCATTTAGCCAAAGTCGTCGCTGCCTCATTTATCTATTCAGTCCCTCTAAGCAGACGCGTGCGTACAGTTCTTCCCACTTTGTCATGCAGTGGGTGCTGATCATCGGCGCTGACTCTCAAATACGCTTTCACCTGAGCAATCGTGTGACGTTCTACCGTGGCTGGGAGGACCGGGAGATACCGCATAGCCTTGCAGGATGTTTCTCGTGTGCATCCGAGAACAGTTCGCATACCTTCGTTCTGAATTCTTTCAAGGCGTTTCAGCTGCGACGTTGACAAGGTGAGGAGACCGAGACTATAGTCTATCACAGACATCGCAAAAGTGGTATAGTATGGCTAAAAGTATCTGTGGCATTCTGCTACACGCCATGGTTTTCAGTGCAGTCAGACCTCTTCTCGCTCTTAAAATTGTGATGATCCTGGTTATGTGATCTTTACCTGAGAGTGATCAGTCAAAGATGATACTTAGATACCTCAGTGAGTGCTCACGTTTCAGGACCCTGTCATTGTGGTGAGTGTGGGCATCTCTGCTTTCACCGCGTGATTGTTCAGCGAGCACCACAGCACACAGGCCTTGTCGGGGGGGAGTTTGCCGTTGTGGTCTACACACCATTGCCCAATTCGATTCAGCTCCTGTTGCACCGTGCTAGCTGTTTCTTGCCGGTCCTTACCCTGTTTGTATTCAAGGACATCATCCGCAAAGCTTAGCAAACGCCCTGGGCCTTTCTGTTGTCCAGAAGTGACTCCAACTGTGTATATGATGAATAACACTGGTGAGACTGATGATTCCTGTGGCAACCCAGGTGTTATGCTTCTGTTGTCAGATGTCCCCAGTTTCCCAGCCGCATTGCATCTCTCCTCTTCAGCAAAGGCTCACCTACCCATATCACGAGCTGGGGGCTAATCTTCAGGTTGATCATGGTTCTCAAGAGGACATCGTACTCAATCCTGTTGTAGGCATCCTCGAGGTCAAGCGCTGCTATCAGTCTCCTCGCCTCTTTCAAACCCATCATAAACATCTGATGCAAGGACTGCGTCATGCATCCACGTTTCCTTCCCCCTTCTGTAGCTACCCAGAGTCGCTAGAAGTGCCTCTTTCTTTTCTAGCTCCTTTGCGATCGAGTACCCCACCTCCTTTTCTAAGAGATTGCTGACGCAATTTTGCATCGTGATTACTCGTGTATGTGTGTGCGTGTATTGTGTGTGTGTGTGTGTGTGTGTGTGTGTGTGTGTGTG